CTCAAATACCCAACCTCCAGAGGAGAGAAAAAAGATTCTCTCGTCCCCACAGGCTCAAAAGAGTACTGTAAGAATTCACTAGTTTTATGGAAGACTACTTAGAGGGGATAGACATGAAGCAGTTTTGATAGGGTAGCCAGGTGTTCATATAAATATTAATATTAATTATGCTATAAGATTGTTGTCTATAATTCATTCGTATTGTGTCCTATTTGGTGTACACATTTTTATCAAGCATATATATCCATATATATTTGCTAAAGTCATTTGGAACTTTAGCTTTGAATAAAGTTAGATACCAAAGAAATATCAAAAATCTTTTATGCTTAAAAACTCAGCAAATTAGAAAGCAATTAGTGATATATTTGAACTAAAATTACTAATCAACTTGTTGTTTGTTTATTTTAGGGTAACAATGAACAGGGACTGGGAATAGGGGCTGGCCACAGCTGCGATCTTATTTGTTTTACTGGATTGAAAATAAAAACGTGACAGAATGCATCTCAGTAAAGGTAGAATCAGGATTTAGTTGCAGGAAACAAAAACTAATCCAGGTTCTATTTTAGTCCTAAACTGGAAATAAATCGAATGTCCATTTATAGCAAAAAAGACTAAAAGAGTATGCACAGTGGCTCATATCTTAATCTCAGCACTTCGGGAGGCCCAGATGGGAGCATTGCTTGAGGCCAGGAGTTCGAGGCTGCAGCTAGCTATGATCACCCCACTGTATTCCAGCTTGGGAAACAGAGCCAGACCCTGTCTCAAAAATAAATAAATAAATAGCCAAGGTTTTTTTTTATACAAGGAATATCATACCACAAAGAGAGTGAAGGAACTACAAGTACTCACAACCACATGGAAGAATCTCACAAACTAATATTGAGTGAAAAAAAGACCAAAGAATGCATACTGTAGTGCATTCCATTTATTGAAAGTTCAAAAGCAGGTGAAATTAATCTATGGTGTTAGAAGTCAGGATACTGATTATTCTTGGGAGGCAGTGACTGGAAGGTCCTATTTCCCTTGAGAGGAATACCTAAGATTCTGGTAATGGTTTTATTTAATAGTTCTCAAATTGAGTGTTGAGTATGTGGGGGTGTTTGCTTTGTGTAAATCTATTGAGTTTTATTGATCATTTTTCATATGCTTTTGTGTTTTTGTTAAACTTCAGTAAATACTTTTCTTTTAGAAAAATCTTCCTGAGGAGGATATAATATTTTTCCTGCCACTAAAAAGTATGATATACATTAATACTTATTCTAATGACACAGTAAGATATTATGTATTTTTTGAGTAAAAAAATCTGGTCATTACCAAAATCCTACCTATTGTGCAAAATGACACATTAATAAGGCAGGGTTGTATATAAATTATTAACCTATGCATTTTCTGTGAATTTCAATTTTGTTCTGTTCTCTATTTGGCACTTTGAGTTAATTAAATTAATTGATTCAAGTAAAATGTTTAAAATAGAGCTTGGCATCAAGTAAAAAATAAACTTTGGCTTTTTATTCACTAAATTATCTTCTTTGCAGACAGTGTTTCTTGTTGGTGCCTGGCACATAGTAGGTGTTCAATAAATATTTTGCCTATACACTCAGGGAGCATCTATATGGTACTTCTATGGTTGTTTGGTTGTTTATCTTTTAATGTGTATCTTTTAATGTGTAGACTCAATTGATAAGAGCAGATAGAGAAATCACTGAAGATAGAAATTATATATATCTTCCTGTTATCATCAACAGGAAAGCCTCATTTGTATAAGGTATGGTTGAAAAGTTTCCAAATCATCTGGTGTTGGTTCCTTTTTGCTTAAGAATTCTTTCCTCAGTTTATCTCTTTCCTCATGCATTTTATTATAAGCAGCAATGAGAAACCAGCCTGCACATTCCACACTTTTCTTGGAAATCTCCTCAGCTAAATTGTCAAGTTCATCACTTACAAATTCTGTTTTCCACCCAATCATAGAGTACAATTCAGCAAAGTCTCTGCCACTTTATAACAAGGATCACCATTCCTTCAGTTTCTAATCACATCTTTTTCATTTCCTGCTGAGACCTTACCAGAAGCACCTTTAACTTTCATATATTTTTTAATTAATAGACTTTATTTTTTTGAACAGTCTTAAGTTTATAGAAAAATTCAGTAAAAAGTAGAGACTTCCACTATACTCCCCTTCTCTTCCCTCCTCCCCCAGTTTTCCATATTATTAAAATCTTGTATTAATGTGGTACATTTGTTATAATTGATATGCCAATATTCATAAATTATTACTAACTAAAGACCAGACCATAGTTTACATTAGGGTTCATTCTTACAAGTTTTGGCAAATTATAAAGTTGCTATAGATATTCTTGTGCACGTTTTATATGAACATAAGTTTTTATTTGTGGAAATACCAAGGAGCACAGTTGCTAGGTCCTATGGTAAGAATATGGTTAGCTTTGTAAGAAATTACCAAACTGTCCTCCAAAGTGGCTGTATCATTTTGCATTCTCACCAGCAATGAAACAAGAATTCATGTTGCTACACATCCTTCCTAGTACTTGTTTTTGGGGTTCCAGATTTTGGTAGGTATGTGATGGTATGTCATTGTTGTTTTAATTTGCATTTCCCTGATATATGATGTAGAGCATGTCTTCACGTGCTTATTTTCCATCTACATGTCTTCTTTGGTGAGGTGTCTGTTAAGAGCTTTAGTCTATTTTTTAATTGGTTTGCTTGTTTTCTTATTAAGAGTTCTTTTTATATTTTGGATATCAGTTCTTTATCGGACACGTGTTTTGCAAATATTTTCTACCAGTCTGTGGCTTGTCTTTTCATTCTCTTAAACATTCATTTTTTTTTTTTACCCATGTTCTATTCATGACAATATACACATTCTCCAAGATGAGTGAAACTTTCTCTACCATGTTCCTTACTTCTATCACTTCCATTCCTCACCAGAATTGTCTTTAAAGTCCACATTTTTATCAACCATCTTTTCAAGACACTCTAGGCTTCTATAATTTATGTGCCTCAAAATTCTTCCAGCTTCTACCTATTACCAAATTCCAAAATAACTTCCACATTTTTAGGTATTTGTTATGGTAGCACCCCTCTCCTCAGTACCAAAATCTGTATTAACTTCCTAGGCCTGCCATAACAAATTACTACAAATAGTTGCATCTGCCAAATAAAGGAATTTAAAGTGGTATTATCTAAAACTTTTTCGGTACTAAAATTTATTTTGGGACTTTATGTATGGAAGATAACTTGGCTGATATAAAATTCTTGGGTTACAGATATTTCCCCTCAAATTCTGCAGTTATTATTCCATTGTTTCTTAGCTTCCAGCGTAGCGAAAGGAAGATAAAGGCATTTTGACTTTTGATACTTTATAATTATTTTTTTTCTTGGTTGTTTGTAGGAATTTTTTTTCCCCTTGTGGTTTAAATTTTCTTTGCCAGCAGATGCCTAGGTCTCTCTCCCACTCTCGCTCGTTCTCTTCCTGGAACATTATGAAGTATTTTAATATACAGATGTATTCTTTCCTAATCTCTGGAAATTTTTGTATTTCTTTACTAAGGAATCTAGTGTTAGAGATTAGGAGGGAGTGATTGGGACCATATTACTAAAATTCAAGTCCCAGCTTCCCTATTTACTGGCTGCTATGTGACCTTGAGCAAGTTACTCAACCTACCTGTGCCGTAGTTTCCTTTGTTGTAAAGTAGAAATAATAATAAAGAAGTAACTTCATTAGATCGTTTTAAGAATTAAGTAACTTAATAGATGTAAAACACTTAGAATGATGCCTGGCACATAGGAAGTGTTAAAGGATAGCTGGTTTTTATCTGGTCACTCCTTTACAATTGCCAGTTATCCACATGTTGGCTTTCTATCCTCTGTCCTTCATATCATTTTCTCTTATTCTGTTTCACTCATCTTTTTCTTTTGAATCATGGAGAAGCTTCAAAAGAATATTCTATACCTAAGTGATTCACTTTCCCACAGCATCAATTCAGTTTTTCTCCAATATGACTTTATGTTGCTGCATTTTAAATATGCTTGCTATATGTTCTTATCCCTTTGTATCTAGTGTCTTTTTATTACAAGCCTGTTCTCTCACAGCTTTTCTGTTCCATTCATGCCATGTCTTCTTGTATTCTGCTGAGAAAACCAGATTGTTTACTGAAATTCTTTTCTAAATCCTACAGACCTTTTCTGAAATCTGCTCTTAGAGACTTCTAAATATTGTTCCCTTTACCTTGACTGTAAGTTTGTTTTTCGTATACTCAGTGTTAGGATTTTCAGGTTTAGTGTTTTGTCAGGCAACAGGCTGAGACTTGACCTTGGCCCTTCTATCCAAATGTTGGAGACGCACTGAAGCACAGTAAAGTGCAAGGATCACATCTTTAAAAATATGAAAACCTACTAACTTATTGGACTCTTTCCAGCCAAAGACACATTGACAGACTGGCTTTTTGCTCCATTTACAGCTATGTACTGACTGACATAGGCATATAAAATGAAATACTAAGGGGTAAAACACAGGAACATCACCTCTAGGTTTCCTTAAGCATTTCTTAAAATGTGGGTCGCGATATAATTGAGAGTCATGAGAGCAATTTTAATGCATAACTACCAATATTTTTAAGACGAATAGAACACAAAATAGAACGTCGAACATGTAATAAAGCATCGTGAAGCGCTTGTTTGCGGTTCAAAATTCTATGCGTGTAAATATGTCTTTCTTACAATCAGTCCAGTCGGGCAAGTTTGGGAGTCATCGCTCTGCGAACACGGACGCTGGAAACAATCAGGGGCAAATGACTGGCTGGTAGAACGCCAGGAACCGCGCCACGCGAATGTCCACGTTTGCTGCAGCTTCTGGGAAATGAAGTTCCGAAATATCGTCGCGGAGCATTCTGGGAAGCGTAGTCCTGTGTGTCCGCTGGGCGCGGGTCAGCGCAGCAGGCGTGCGGGGCGGGGCTGTCTCCGCACGGCCGGAAGTGACCATTGAAGCCAGCTGTAGGCGTTGAAAGGGGCGCTTTGGAAGTCCAGTTGCTGTGGCTCCCTTCGTTAGGTCTGGTGACTGTTACAGGGCTTCTGGACCCGGGAGCCGAGTGTGTGGATCGCGCCAGGGGGAGGGGAGCCCAGGTATCACCATGGCAACTGCCAGCCCTCCAGGCACATGACGTCACCCTTCTGGTTTCGCCGGTAGAGGCCTCTGCGTGAGAAAGCTGGGGAGTCCTCGAAGGGGGGCGCCCCTCGCCTCCTTCTGTGTGGGGCGGTCCCGCCCTGATCCATTGGAGGGCTTTGTTCTTTTGTTCCGGCGTAAAGGGAAGTCATATGCTGGGCCCCGCCCTGCTGGTCCACCTTCCAGCTTTTACGCTCCGCAACAGGTGTGTCTTCCTGTATCAGACCCCAGGGGTGTGAGTTGCAACTGTGCCCAGAGGGAACGGGCCGGGTCTGTGGGCGCCCCTGGCCAGCTTGTAGGATGGGCACCAAGGGTTTTTTGGATCTGAGCCTGAACCTGCGTACTCAGTCACCACTCCTTTTGTTCATCGGAGTGCCACATGCCTCTCTAGTGCTCTCTTGGGGTACTTCTCTTGTGTAATACCTCTTGGCCACTCTGCAAGACTCTGAGGTGTGATTTTGTGACGTATGCTGCTGACTCCATCCTGTGTCTTTTAGGGTAGACAACCTCAGCGTGTGTAAGAGCTCAGACTTCCTGAAAGAGGAGCTGGATATCTGAGTGTCATAGCGAGGTACGAGTTGCAGGAAGGCTGCTTGGCGAACCCTGGCGTCCAAGTTCCCGAGGAACGAGATGAGCTCCTGAGATGGAAGGTAATGGGGACAAATCAGGGGAGAACGGGGTAATGGAAGCTAGAGAACAGTCATGACTGGAGGATCAAATACTGGATGTCAGAGCTGGCAGAAGAGGTGGAAGGAAGGAACACTATGTTTAGGGGTAAGTAAAGAAACCTAATTACATTTCAGGGAGATACTCATATTTACCTTATAGGGAGAAACTTGGGGAAAGAGTTAATTTTTCCTGGCATCCATATTGAGGAATGAAAAGGAACAACGATTCAGAATATCTGTGATCCCCATATGACTCCTATTTATTAAACATTAGAATGATAATCTTGTAGTCAGAAAAAAAATCTTGGTAATCATCCCTTCAATTCAAGAATCAGTTTTGAAATATACTTGGCAGATGGCCGTCTGTCAAGACTATACCAGAACAAGTGTGGCATTAAACTTGCCATTTGGAGTGCAGACTATTCCCTTGTTGGCTTTCTTTTTTTTTAGTTTTTTATATTAGAAGTGCCTGTCCCTGTAACTTTTGTGTTGCTCTTAGTTATTAGTGCCCCAAAGCAAAAGTTCTTTTACATTGCTGCCCTTCAGATACGTGAATTCAGCTGTTAAAACTCCTCCTTATAAATTATTTTATGAGCAATATGGCCTCAGTTCCTTTGATGGGTCCATGTGATATATCTTGACCTCTTCTCCAAAAACTCTACTGCTTGTCAGCATTGTTCTTGAAATGCAATACCTAATACTAAACATAATTCTTTGGATGTCCTTTGAAGAATACCTGAAAGTATGGTGTACTACTTCTCTTGATTTGGATTATACTTCTGCTGTTTGGCATCAGATTGTATTTGCTTTTAAAAGAAAACAACAATATTATATTTTAAATCCTAGATCTTTTTTACATAAACTGCAAAGAACTAGACATTGCCATTCTTGTGTAATGGAATTGTTATTATCCTTAATTTCAGGACTTCATATTTATGATTGCTCAATTTTTTGGCCAAGTGTTCTAGCCTGTCAGAATAATTATGAATCCTAATTTACTTCTTCAGTGTTTTAATTGTCATTTCCAACTTTATGTCACTAGCAGATTTGATGAGTATTCCTTCTATTTCTTCCTACATGTAATCAAACAGGTGAAGGTAAGGATAAAACCATGTGACATGTCACTATAGACTTCCCTCTGCATTGTCATTGTCTTTACATTCTTTAGATATGGTTATGCAGTCACGTTTGGTTTAGCCTATTATCATGTAGTCAGTCCTTTTTCTTGCATCTTTTAAAAATAGTATCACAAGAAGTCTTAGCATTACCCATATTATTCATGTAGGTTTGAGCTATACTTTTCTCAATTTTTTTTGCCTTTAATGTCTTTTTATGATGTTCTTTTAAATTCTAAGTTCCTAAGAATTAAATCAGCCAAAATGGTTTGATTAAAAGTCTTTGTTTTTTCTTTTTTTGGGGGGAGATTTTTCACAATTGTGTAGCTAGGATTAATTTTCCTGACCTTCTATCCCTTGTAATCATACTATTTGTAACACTTACTGAGCATTTACTATGTGCAAGAAACACAGTTTGTTTCTGTAACTGTTACTATTGTTGGTTCTCTTGGTTTCTGTTACTTGGATTCAAAAGCATCTTACCTTCAGGTAAGATTTCAGGTAGTATTTCTCTTTACCTTATTTTCCTAAAGTCTTAGATACCTATTTGTTACTGTACAACAATTCTTTCACTGTTAAAAACTCCAAGATGACATCTTCATTTTTTTCGTAAGATTTCTGTTACAAAAGTTTTTCCATACTGGCCAAAATTGAGTCAAGGATAATAATTCCCTTTATTGCTTTCTCTATTTTCCGAGGCATGACACCATTAAGATAAATCAAGAATTTCTTGATTAACACATTTTTTACAAAATGAAACTTATATACGTATCCAGGCAATTGAAACCATCTAGGTTTTCTTGATATTCATCATCCCCACTTGCCTAAGCTGTCAATGCCATGCTGCTGTCAGCATGGTGCTGCTTTTGTTTTTTCTCTCCTTTTTGATTTATCTACAGTTTCCATCAGGTTTCACACTCAGGATTATTGCATTGCATACAGTAATCCATCCCTTAGTCTATCTCTTTCTATCAGATCATTTTCAGTAAACTTTACCCAGCCTTCTTTGAACCAAGGCTTGATCATGAAACCCACAGTAGGCTAGTGGGATTTCTCTGGAATTTGAATCTTGGGCCTAAAATCAGATGCCACTGACCCACCCTAGTGGTGGTATCCCAAAGAGACTGTCCTTGCACCCTAATGGTGCAATCTGGATCCTCTGAAATGATATGGGTCCTGTGCCTTTGATTATTTAGCTTTTCTTTTTATTCTGCTATTCCCCAATGTCCTTATATTTAGTTTCTTTTTAGTATTTTTAGTTTTTTAAAAAGGTTCTATAGTTTGAGGGTCTTATTCCATTATGACTTCCATCCCAACAAGCCTTAATAATACCTAAAAGACTATCTGTCCCTCTTTTTTTTTTTTCCAGGTGTAAATTCACTTGGTTTATTGCCCCTATCTGATGCATTTGTGTCTGTGGTCATAAATATCCTTCCTGAACTTTATATGTTGTGATTGTTTTTTCTTGTTTTTTTCCCAGATATCTCTTATAGTATTGTTATTCTTTCTATTTCATACCTCATGTCTCTAATTTAGATTTTATTTCCAGAGATACCTTCCCTCACTGGTCTTTCTGCATACATTCAACTTCAAAGGGGAGAAAATTCTTCTTGCCTACTTCTTTGTGGAAACAGTACACCTAGTTTAATTTTCCCCACCACTGTCTCCTCCTTAACAACATTTTGAAAGGTATATTTGTCAGATATTTGTTTCCACACTTTTAAAGATGAGGAAATTGAAGCCTAGAGAAAACAAGGGACTTGCATAATTATACATGAGAAATTATCAGAGGACTTGTTCTGAGAATCAGGCTTTCCTATCAATCAGTACTCTGAATAGACCTCCTCAAGAGCAAAGTTTGTTTTCATTTTGTTTATTGAGGTACACATTACAGTAAAGTGCACACATATGATGTATAAAATGTACATATTGGTGAACTTTTATATATGTGCATACTAGTGTAACCGAGATATGTAATGTTTCTAATGCCCACAAGTGTCTCTTGTGCACCTGCCCAGTCACTAATCCCTCCAGAGGTAACCACTATTCTAACTTCCATCACTGTAGATCAGTTTAATCTGCTTTTGACCTTAATATATATGTAGTCTTATACTATACACATTCTTTTGTGTCTGGCTTATTTTGCTCAATATTGTATTTATGAGATGTATCCATGTTGTTAGTTATGTTAGTAGCTCTTATATTTTGGAATAATATTCTCTTGTATGAATATACCACAGTTTGTTTATATCTTTTCCTGTCGAAACACATTTGGGTTGTTTTCAGTTTAGTGATATTATGAATAAACTTGCAACGAACATTCTTGTACAGGTATTTTGATAGACACAAGCAATTCTACTGGTGTATGCACAGGAGTGGAATTGCTGAATCAAGGGTAGACATATGTTTAACTTAGATACTTATGTTTAACTTTAGTGTATACTTTCCTAAGGGTTGATAAATGTACCCACCCCTCACAGCAATGTGCAAAAGTTCCAATTGCTTTGCATTCTTGCCAGCAATTAGTATTGACTATGTCTGTTTAATTTAAGACATTCTGGTAGGTGGATAGTGTAAACAGTGTATGTCACTGTGATATTTAATTTGCATTAATAGCAAAGTTTTCAAAGGACATATGAAGACTTTTGGAAAGTAATCTGATTATTTCTTCATATTTTATATGTAACAAAGAAAAGGCAGGAGAAATATTTTGACTCAATGAGGATTGTAGCTTGAGTTGTGTGATCCATATGACTAAGTATCTATGGACAAAACTGAATCTTAAAGCAAATCTTAAACAGGGCCCCAGTTAGCAGTTCTCTTGTATCTTTTTTTCTGATTCTGAAATGTAAAGGAGATGGCATAGTTTCTGTTAGTTTCAAACAGAAAAGTAAATGGGCTTTATGGATTGCTGGGAGTAGCTAAATTGTAGACAATTCATTTTGGCTTCTTCTTCTTCCCCTAGATCTATCCTCTTCAGACTCTGCCCTTCTCCAAGGGGGACATACTCTATTCCCATCATCCAGTTTTCAGGTGAGTTGGGATTTCCTGAAATGCTATTTTATTCCTTACAATGAGAGTGTACATTCTTTTGCAGAGGGGTATTTTTGTCCAAAAACCAATGTTGGAAATTCATTCTGGGCTCTCATCTGCCCAGTGACCTCATTTGTAGCTCTACCTCTCCAGCTTTAACTAATATATTCCCCACTTAATCTCTTGTTTAGTATCTTGCTATGCTCCAGGGATGGGAGAGCAAAAGAAGTACAAAACTTGATCCTTTGTTTGAATAGACCAAAATGAGTGCTAAAAAACAAAACAGGCAATTATAAGAAAGGTGAAATGAGTATTGTAGAAATCAGAGAACAGAAAAATGTATGTGATCTAAACGGGTTAGGAGAATTTCATGGATGGCGTATTTGTGTTACCTCTCAAAGAACAGGTGACATTTGGATATTTGAACAAGTAAGGTTGGGGGCTGAATTCTAGGTATGGAGAAGATTATAATCAGAAGTTCACAAGAATTCACAGGTGTTACACAAGATTCAGAAAAATTTGGAGGAGATGGTTTATTTTGGCAAGTGGTAAACAAATGGTCGAATAAGGTTACAGTATGAAAGTCCTTAAATGTCTGGATGAGAAGTTGAAGGCATTATTCTGTAGGTCATTTGTAAACCATTAATGGTTTTTAATGGAGAAAAAGTGACCTGATAATGTTTTAGGAAAAAAGGATAACTGATTAAGAACTTAGATCAAAAAGGTAACAGTTGCTCCATCAGCCATAATCAACCTCAAGCCCTCCTTTAATCGATTTCCTTTATCTTCTTCGATTTTCCCTTCTGCTTGCTTCTTGTCCTACAACTGAATCTTCCTTTGTACCTAAGAAATAGTCCCAAGTACTTTTGGTATTGCTTTTTTTATTGAGGGGTGTATTGTGACAATAAACTGCACATATTTAAAGTATATAATTTGTTACATTTTGACATATGTATACACTCATGAAACTATCACCACAATCAAGAGAATGAACTATAATCTATAATCAGAAAAGAAACTAGAATCAGAGAAGATACTTTGTATAACTTAAATCTTTTCAAATTTAGACTTTTTTTTCCCAGCATACGCTCCATCTGAGTGCTTGAAAAAAAATGTATATTTTGCTATTGTTGGGTAGAGTGTTTTACAAATGTATTAGTTTCCTATTGCTGCTGTAATTAATCACCATAAGCTTAGTTGGCTTAAAATAACACAGATTTACTGTCTTACGGTTTTAGAGCTCAGAAGTCCAAAATGTGTTGTCAGGGCTGCATTCCTCTGGAAGGCTGTAGGGGAGAATCTATTACCTTGCCTTTTCCAGCTTCTAGAGGCTGATATGTTCCTTGGATTGTCCCCTTCTGTCTTCAAAGCCAGCACTATGACATCTTCAAATTTTTTCCTGACTTGTCTTCTATCTTCACATTTCCTTCTCTGATTCTCTTGCTTCTCCCCTAGGACCCTAGGAAGTCCTAGAACCCTTGTGATTACATTGGGCCCACCCATGTAATTTAGAATAATTTCCCCTTTGCAAGGTCCCTTAACTTGGTCACATTTACAAAATCTCTTTTGCCATTTTAGGTACATATTCACAGGCTCTAAGGATTAGGACATGGACATCTTTGGGAGGGCCATTCTTCTGTATACCACAGATATCAGTTAAGTCAAGTTGATTGATAGTATTGTTCAAGTCTTTTATATCCTTATTGATTCTCCATCTACTTGTTTTATCAGTTGTGAAAACGGTATTGATATATTAGGCTATTGTGGTTTTATCTATTTCTACTTGCCATTCTGTTTTTGCTTCATGTATTTTGAAACTCTGTTATTAGGTGCATATACATTTAGGATTGTTATGTACTCTTAATCAGTTGACCCCTTTATCACTGAGGAATGGCCTTTTTAATGCTGGTATTATCACTTGCCTTGAAGTTTACTTTGATGTTTGATTAGTGTCAGCATAATATATCTTTTTCCATCCTTTTGCTTTTAACTTATTTTTATCTTTATACTTACAGTGAGTTATTTACAGACATCATGTAGTTGGGTTTTGCTTTTTTTCAGTTCAAACTGGAAATCTGCCTTTTAATTGGGGTGTTTACACCATTTATATTTAATATGATTTTACACTTAATGTGTTACATTTAATAGGATTGTTGATATGGTTTAGCTTAAGTCTATAATCTTGCTGTTTGTTTATTATTTGTACTGCCTTTGTTCTTTTTTTCCCCCCCAGTCTTCTTTTGGATTGAATATTCTTACAATTCCATTTTATCTCCTTCATTGGCTTATTGCCATAACTCTTTGCTATTTCAGTTGTTGCTTTAGGTTTACATAATTAATTTATCACCGTTTACCTTCAAGTAATATCTACTTCATAAATAGCATAAGTACAATAGTGTGCTTCCATTTCTGCCTTCTATAAAATAGTTTTTATGCTATCGTTGCCATATATTTTACTTATGTTATAAATCCCACAATACTTTGTTACTATTTTCATTTAAGTAACCAATTATTTTTGAAAGATTTAAATAACAAGGAAAAAAAAGTGTATATTTACCTATGTAGTTACAATTTTTGGTGATCTTCATTCCTTTGTATAAATCAGTGGTTTACAGTTGGGGGTAATTTTGCCCCCCAGGAGACATTTGGTAATATTAGGGAACTTTTTTGATTGTCATAAGTTGGTGGGGAGTGGTACTGGTATCTAGTGGGCTGAGGCCCATGGATGCCTTACTACAATGCCTCCTTCCCCCCCAATATTTAAAAGAATTATCTGGTCCAAAATATTAATAGTGCCAAAGTTGAGAAACCTTGGTGTAGATCCATATTTTCATCTGGTGTCATTTTTCTTCTGGTTGAGGGACCCTTTAACATTTCTTGTAGTGTAGGTCTGCTAGTAAAGAATTCTTTCAGGTTTTTATGTCTAATTTTAAAGTCTTTATTTTGCCTTTGTTTTTGAATTCTAGTTTGATAGATTTCTTCCTTTTAGTATTTGGTATTGCTTCATTGACTTCATGCTTGCATTGTTTCCAACAGAAATACCACTGTCATTTTTATCTTTGTTCTTATATATTTACATGTCTCTTTTTCTCCGACTGCTTATAAGATTTTCTCTGTCACTGAGTTTGAGCTATTTGATTATGATTATCTTGGTATTTGCACTTTGTGTTTCTTGTGCTTGTAGTTTATGGAGTTTCTAGGATATGTGGTTTTAATTTTCATCAGGTTTGGAAAATAATCAGTTACTATTCCTTCCAATATTTTTTCTGACTCCCTTTCCTCTTTTCTCCTTCCTACCTGCTGACTCCCTGCCCAGGGACTACATGCAATTACACATATATTGGTCTGCTTGAAGTTTTCCTATAGCTCCCCAATGCTTTTTTTCAAATTATTTTTTTTCTGTTTCACTTTGGATAGTTCCTATTTCCCTCTTTTTTTTTTTTCCCTAAGGGACAGGGTCTCACTCTGTTGCCCAGAGTGGAGCGGCCTGATCATAGCTCACTGTAGCCTCGAACTCCTGGGTTCAAGCAATCCTCTCACCTCAGCCTCCCAAGTAGCTGGGACTTCAGGCGCATACCATCATGCCAGGATAATTGTTACATTTTTTTGTAGAGATGGGGTCTTGTTATGTTGCTCAGGCTTGTCTCAAACTCTTGGCCTCAAGCGATCCTCCTACCTTGGCCTCCCAAAGTACTGGAATTATAAGTGTGAGGCACCATACCTGGCCCTATTTCTCTATCTTCAAAGTTATTAATATACTCTTCTCAATGCCTAATCTGGTGTTAATACTATCCAATGTATTTTGTCTCTCAAAACATTCTCATTTTCAGCTCTAGAAGTTCCATTTGGGTTTTTTTTTTTTTTTTTAATTTCCACATCTGTGCTTAAGTTTTTGAACATGTGGAATAGAGTCATAGCTTTTAATGTTCTTGTCTGTTAATTCTAGCATCTGTGTCAGTTCTGGGTTGGTTTCAATTGATTGATTTTTCTCATTATTATAGATTATACTTTCCTGTTTCTCTGCATGCCTGATAATCTTTGATTGCAAGCCACATACTGAATTTTATCTTATTGGGTTCTGCATATTTTCATATTCCTATAAAATATTCTTGATCCTTATTCTGGGATGCAGTTAAGTTACTGGAACCAGCGTGTTCCTTTCAGGCCTTTTAAGATTTGTTAGGTGGGCCCAGAACAGCATTTAATCTAAGGACATTTATTCCCCACTACTAGGGCAGGAGTATTCTGAGTATTTTACCCAGTGCCTCATGAATTATGAAGTTTTCCAGTTTGGCTGATGGCAACAGACTATTTCCAGCCCTTTTTGAATGCTGATACTGGTCCCTTGAGACTTTTTGGATGATTCTTTCTCTGACTCAGATAATCTGATCACACCTATGAACTGACTGGTACTTGGCTGAATACTCAAGAAGGAACCTCTGCAGTTCTCCTTGCTTCTCTCTTTGTGTAGTTTTCTCCTCTCCAGTACTTTGTCCTATGAACTCTAGTCACTTTGATTGCCTCAAACTCTCAGTTCTGTTTGTTCAAGTTAAGGGAATCTGTTGGGCTCCTCCTGGTTTCCCTCTCCCTGCACCACTGCTTGGAAACTCTCAAGGCAGTAAACTGGAGCAGTTGTAGGGCTCACCTCATTAGTTTCCTGATTCTCAGGGATCACTGTTTTTCATTATATGAAGTTCAGTGTGTTAGAAATTGTTTCGTTTTGCCTGGAACTTTTTGGTTATTTCATGCAGAAGAGTAAATCTAATTTTTGTTAATTCCATCTTGGACACAGCTTAATCTTTTGTTTTTTGAAGTGTAGGCTTTGTTAGCGCTGATCTAGTGTAGCCTTACTCTAGAGCTATGTTTCAGGGACCCATGACTTGCCTTCAGTTTGGTGATTCACTGGAATGACTCACATGACTTAGTAGCATAACTTATGGCTAAGGAATATTACAGCAAAGCATATAAAAGAAGTTCATAAAGAAAAGGATATTCATAAGCAGAGTCCAGAGAAATCAGATGCAGGCTTCCAAGTCCTCCCTGTGTGATGGTTGTGCAGATGCACTTTCTCTTTGTGATCCACAGAGACTTGAGAAATGTCTACCCAGGGAAGCCTGCTTGAGTCTTAGAGTCCAGAGTTCTTAAGGATTGCTGATCACATTGGCCATGATATCCTGCCGTGTGACCAGCTGTGGTACAGACCCCACACTAGGCCACCTGGTACACATCATAAATTTATGTGTTTAAACAGTGCTGACAGCCTGGTACATCCTGCCTCAATGCTCCAGACACACAGAATCACATCATTAATCAGTGACTATGTAAACATTCCAAGGTTTAGTTTTCAGAGCTTGTTCAAGGGTCAGAACCATAGATCCGTAGATCCCTGGAATTTAGGAAGGATTGAGCCAGCAGACCTGCTCCTTCAACTCTTTCCTCACAGTCTAGACTTGCCCTGCTCCTAAAGTATGCTGGAACTGTTTGCGGGAGCTGATTGTACATATCTCTTCTCAACTCTGTATTCAGCTTTGTCATGTTGTTAACTTCATACTGCCCTTGGAGATTGTGTTTACACCAGAATTTTGGAGCTCTTCCTCTGTGCACCTCCCTCCTCTCTAGTATCTATCCTACAAATTCCCTGCGTCAGTATTTCTGAGCTGCTACCTTTGTCTCCTCAGCTCAGTAAGACCACTGCTTTGCTAGAGTTCTATCTCCATGCTCTGCAGTCTGGGCAGTGCCTCAGGCAAAAAGTTGAGGGGATTTGGGGGCTCATGTTAGTATTTCCTTTCTCCTAGGTATCTCACTTCTGTCCTGCCTGCTGTTCAAAATATAAAAAGATTTGTTGCAGTTATATTGTTTAGTTTTATTGCTTGCAGTGGGGAAGCAAGTACAGTTGCCCTGTCATGGTTAGAAGCAGCAGTTCTAATGATTTAATATATTTATCTATTTTAAAACAAAGTTTATGTACACTCACTCAGTTTCAAATACTTAGTAAAAAAAAAAAAGTAGGAAGTTCTCCTGCATTTCTCCAGGTCCCACTACCCATGGAGTCCCACCAATAGTATTTGGTTGGGTATTTTTTCAGATTTTTTTTCTATGCATTTACATATACACTTTCCTCTTATTCATAAACATAAAAATGGGATCATACCATTTTTCTGTTTTTAATATAGATATATACATATTTTCTAATCAGTACATGTAGAGATAGCTCATTTTGAAAATGTCTACATAAAAGTTTTAGTATGGATATATACCAAATATTCTTTAACCAGTGTCCTACTAATAGATATGTAGTTTGATTTTTTTCCCCTTCACACAAATGATGTTGCAATGTAACTTGTTCATATGTCTTTGTACCCTGAGGTGTTTCTGAAGAATAAATCCCTAGACGCAGTAAGACTGGATTGAGTGGTATATGCATTTAAAGTTTTGATAGATCTTGTCAGATTGCCCCCCAGATAGATTGCATTTGGATTGTGTTTGCACCATAGTATGTGAGCACATTAGCAGTGTTACCCAATCTGCTATCTTATTGTTTAACTATTTTTAATGGAGTGGAGCATCTTTTCATGGTTTATTAACAGTTTCTTGGGTGACTTGCCTGTTTGGGTTATTGGCCTTTTTGTTGTTGTTATTGTGAATTCATGTTTCTTTTTTTCTTTTATTTTTAGTTAACATGTAATAATTGTACTTAGTTATGGAATACAGAGTAATAATTGATACTTGTATACAATGTGTAATGATCAAATCAGGGTAATTGGCATATCTATTACCTTGAACATTTATTATTTCTTTGTCTTGTGAACATTCAAAATCCTCCCTCTAGCTTTTGGGAAATAATATGCTAAATTATTATTAACCATATTCTCCCTACAGTGCCACAGAACACTAGAACTTATACCTGTAACTTGGACCTCCCATATACCTGTAATTTTGTATCCATTAACCAACCTCTCCCTATCCTACCTTCTCTCCTCCCCACCCTTCCCAGCCTACAATAACCACAATTCTACTCTCTACTTCTATGAGCTTAATTTTTTTTTAGCTCCTACATATGAGTAAGAACATGCAATATTTATCTTTCTGTGCTTGCCTCATTTTATTTAACACAATATCCTCCAGGCTCGTGAATGTTGCTGCAAATGACAAGATTTCATTCTTTTTTTTTTTGTAACGGCTGAATGATATTCCATTGTGTATGAACATACACATATATATATGCACCACATTTTCTTTATCCATCTATTGGTGGACATTTAGGTTATCTTAGCTATTATGAATAGAGCTGCAATAAACATGAGGGTGCAGATATCTCTTCGATATACTGATTTCCTTTCCTTTGGATAAATACCTAGTAGCAGGATTGCTGGATCATGTGATAGTTCTATATTTAGTTTTTTGTTTTTTTTTTTGAAGCAGAGTCTGACTGTGTTGCCCGGGCTAGAGTGCCGTGGCGTTAGCCTAGCTCAGAGCAACCTCAAACTCCTGGGCTCAAGCAATCCTCCTGCCTCAGCCTCCCGAGTAGCTGGGACTACTCAGTGGCATGCGCCACCATGCCCGGCTAATTTTTTTTTTATATATATATATATTTAGTTGTCCAGCTAATTTCTTTCTATCTTTTTTTTTAGTAGAGACAGGGTCTCGCTCTTGCTCAGGCTGGTCTCGAACTCCTGAGCTCAAACAATCCGCCTGCCTCGACCTCCCATAGTGCTAGGATTACAGGCGTGAGCCACCACTCCCGGCCTATATTTAGTTTTTTAAGAAAATACCATACGGTTTTCCACAATGGTTGTACTAATTTACATTCCCACCAACAGTGTATCCTTGCCAGCATTTGTTATTTTTTTGTCTTTTTGATAATTAGCCATTCTAATTGGGGTGAGATGGTATCATTATGGTTTTGATTTGCATTTCTCTGATGATTAGTGATGTTGAGCATTTTTCCATATACTTGTAGGCCATTTGTATGTCTTCTTTTGAGAAATGTCTATTCAGATCCTTTTCCCACTTTTTAATGGGATTTTTTTTTTTTAGCTGTTGAGTTGTTTTAGTTCCTTTTATATTTTGGATGTTAGTCCCTTGTTGGATGATAGTTTGAAGATATTTTCCCTTCCTCTACAGGTTATCTGTTCACTTTGTTGATTGTTTCCTTTGCTGTGCAGAAGCTTTTTAGTTAAATTGCCTTTTGTTTTTGGTATGTTATAGAAGTTTTACATTGTTATGTGGTAATTATATCTGTCAGTCTCTCTTTGTCTTATAATTTTTGCCTTATACATTTCAAGCTTATATAACTATTTTCCTGTCTTTTATTCTACCTTTTTGTTTTAGCTTTTTTTTTTTGAAATTTAATCTTTTAGCCAGTAGAAATTTTTTTGTATATTGTGATGTAAGGAATTCACCTGAATTTTTTTTACAGTCATTTGTTATAAGACAATTTAGTGACTAATCCATCTTAAACTAATTAGACTTTGAACTGACTTTTAATTTAACTAATTTGAAAGCTGCTTAATCTCTTTCAACTCTTATAAAATGAGTCTGTTTCTGGAGTCTCTATTTTATTTCATTGTGTTTTATTTTATATCAGGCCACTCTGTTTTAATTACTTTATCTTTTGCTATATTTTGAAGTGTAACAGGGCAAGTCTCCCATTATTTAAAAAAAAATCTTTTGCTATTCTTGCACATTGTAGGTTGTAAAAAATATAGATAATAATAGTTATTCTGTTAATTATCTTAGAACACAGAAATGATGATGATGATAATAATGAATACAACAGTAGCCATACTGACTCACCATTTATATGCCAGACCCTAAATTAAGCATTTCACCTGGAACATTTCTTATCTAATTCTTATACTAACACTGTGGGTCAGATGCTGTTTTTATATTTATTTATTTTACAAAGGAGGAAATGTCAAGATCACTTTCAGATAGATGATCTTTCTTCTGTCAGTATTGCTAACTTTACCCCTTTTCTAGGTAAATGCTTTATGGCTAAGCAGAAATATGTTTGGTATTTCAGGAATCAGTGACCTTCAAGGATGTGATAGTAGACTTTACCCAGGAAGAATGGAAGCAGCTGGATCCTGTCCAGAGAGATTTGTTTAGGGATGTGACATTGGAAAATTATACACACCTGGTCTCTATAGGTAAGGATGACTTTGCTGAATTAATATCAGGGGATGTGGAGGAAGAGGGTTCCTCCTGTGCTTAGGTGAGTTTTGCCTTTAAGTTTAGGGACCAACAGCAACCAATTTTGGAAGTTTTTGAAAAAGTTCCTACTCTCCTAGCAAGCAGAGGGACAAACTAATAATTTTCCTGAACCAAGATTAGTTCCCAGATTATACCCTTACCGTGTCTGGGAATTTATAACTCTGGAGCTTGGTATGTTATCCACTGCCATCAGATTTATCCTACATATCATTTTTTCTAAAGACAAAATGGTGAGATTGAATTCTGATATGGTACTTTTCTCTTACTGGAGACAGGTTTCTTTGTTTTTTTTTCTCCCCACGAACAGGACTCCAGGTTTCCAAACCTGATGTGATTTCCCAATTAGAGCAAGGAACAGAGCCATGGGTCATAGAATCGGGCATTCCAGTAGGTACCTTTGCAGGTAAGTAAAAGATGCCAGCAGATGAGTATCATTAATTCTAACTGCTAGCCTGATAAAAGAGAATTTTATGTCTGAAGAATAGATGTACTCACTTCTCTTTAAAGTATCTCTTATGAGAAATGGGAAGCCATCTGTTTTGGACTTTCTTATGCTTTGTCATGTCACTAACTGTCTCAATCTGTATTCTATTTTTATACTTCTTTTAGAGGAGGTGTCCTTCCTGCCTTTATCTAAAGTCAATCTCTCGACCTGGACTCTGTATTCCATCTCTTTCCACTTCCTTTGGAACCCTGATCTCATAATTATCCTCTCACTTTTCAGTTCTTAAAATTTTCTATTTTGGATTGATAGGCTCCATCCCTAGTACCTTCAGACAAAATAGATAGCCTATATTTCCAAATACATTTACTCAACACTGTGAATCCTTCTGGCTACCATCCCATCCTATCTCTCTCTTTTCTTTCCCAACCAAACTCAACACAACTGAGCTCCATACCCGCAGCCTTCATTTCTTTATCACCTAATCCTTTCTTAATCTCATGTACAGTTCTGATTCTATCACTTTATCATGCTATCTTTGAAGATATGAATAACTTTCTTCTAAATCATCAGTTTCCAAACTGTACAAAGTAACCTTTTCAAAGATCTGACCCTGGAAAAATGTACAAACCTAGTCACTCTAAATAAGGGATACATCTCCAGAGTTAGTGGAGTATAGGTGGGGAAAAATATGTACTATGTTCAAATTTGGGAAATGCTAGATTAGCCAAAATTTTAGCAAATTTCTTACTGTAGTACCAGTCAGAGAATTTTTTAGTAGGCAATCAGGCATTATGAATGTCCAACTGGGTTGCATAGAATGTAACATTTCTCTTCTTTCTTCCTCTTCTCTCCCTCTCTTTCTTGCTCCCTCTCTTCTGTCTTTCTCTAACCATGAATCCCTTTTTTTGTATCATATCTTTAAAATCTTTCTCCTAGAAGATTGTTTCATAATTTAGAAAACTTAATTAAAAAAATATGAGCTTTATTAACTGGTGCTTACAGTTAGTTAACTTTTGGGAAAAGCAAGTTGTCAAATTTTATTACAAATTAAAAATGAAGTTTTAAAAAAATCCCAACTTGATCAGATAGAAAACAGTTTTAAAACACTTAAATGTTTATTGAAAAACCTAGGATTTTCAAAAAACACTTCAATCTTTACCAAAAAGAGACTTATTTAGGTAAAAATAATAAAACTTCCCATGTTGCATAGATAATAATGTAGCTAGCTCCAGTTATCTGGTTAGTGTACAGGAGGTGAACACTTGAGGATTGAACTTCATGCTTTTGTTAACTTCTTATTGCTGGAATTTGACTTGATGATGGTAGTCTTAGTAAATCAGCACTCAATTCTGTTTTCTTTAGCATTTGGAACAGATTTATTCTTAGCTGGTGAGTTGGCTGCTTTTATCTCTATAAAAATGACATAAAGTTTTGTAGATATCTCTGCAGGTAATTGAAATTGTGACAGTACCTACATTGAGGTGGCCACTGGCCCTGGGCCTATTCTCCATCATTTTTCTCATCCTCTTTATTGCTGTCTTCTTGAGGCTGTCTTAGTGACCTGGCCCCTGCAGAATCGTGATCTATAACCCAAATGTGTATTCTGTCTCACTTATATACCTTGTTCTCTTATACTCTGGTTCTCAGCACCCTGGACTACTTCTCCATGCACAGCTGTCAGAATACTGTGGTCAGTGCCCATAGACTTTGTGTACAGTAAAGTGGGCATTGCTTTCTGCAGTAGGGATGGTATTGTTCAATCTGGTCTTCTGGAACTTTCTCCAGTCCTTCATTCTTTGCCCATCCCAGATATTCTGGTAAGTCTGTTGGTTATTGAGTTGAAGATATACAATGTAGATAACTTTGGTCATGATCTGCTTCATGTTGTCTTCAACTGAAATTCCAACCAGGTTTGGAGATCTGCCACTTACATGCCCTTTTCTCCTTTAACAGTATCAGACTCCATGGTCTCCACATCCTTCACTGCAAACTACTTCCAGGAGGTTTTCTTTATGGGCCACCTGCTGTACAAACATAACTTCCTTGGTATCATTTCTATTGATGAAAATACATTAATTTCTTAAAGAATTAGCCATTCCCAAAGCCTATCTTGGTTGATCTTGTCCCTGCTGGAGAAATTCTGCTGCTGTGGGGCTGCCTACACTGATGAACACTGCACCATTACCCATGGTGCCAGGTGTGGAGGGGATGGTAGACAGCTCTGGGTGCTGCCTCACTGTTCCTCCATGCAGTGATAGTCATAGTAGTAGTGACTGGGCTCACAGCATGGGAAAGATTCAGGATTCTCCAGGGTCTTCTGTAACCTCTTGTTACCAGTGGAACTGAAGAAGTGTTATGTTAAACACAGACTTTGTTTTTTAAGGATACTGCCAGTAGTGACTACCCTACTTCTAGTTGTCTTATCTTGGGCAGCACTCTACTTCCTGATTGTATACTTTATTGTCTTTTTGTTTATTCTGTTATTTTGTATATTTGCTAATAAACGGCTTTCTTTCATTAGTATATTTTATTCATCCTATTACCCTAAATACTCTCAAGGATCTTCCCCCTACCTCTGCTCTTTCTCCTATACATATATGGTTTTAGCTATTCTTTTCCTTCCACTTTGGAGCTGACAGTTTGAACATCCTGGATTTTCTGCTACTTTTGGCATCTTCCACTTTCACAAACACTGCTACAGTCCAGTCCTCCATTTCTTTTCCTAATTCTTAAATTGCCTAGACTTGAACTTGTTATCTTCTCCCTCTTAAATTATTTCCTCTGCTATTTACAACTCTCCCATTTCTAGTAATAACATGACCATTCTGTCAGTGTTCCAGGGTAAAGACCCTGGCATCTTAGCCATATCTTTCTTGTTTGTTCTCTTTAAATCATGGATCTTGGATTTTTATTTTGTTGTACATTAGCAATTAGAATCCCAATTCAGACTGCCTCCTTCAGATTCCGTACATTTCTGTCTACTCTTAGCCATCTCTATGGTCACCTTTTAAATTAATTATCACCTTAAATGGAGTTCCCTTACTGGTTCTTACATTTATGAAATTGAATTAGACATTTTCTTACCACTTTTATATTTTATTTATCATTCTCCTTAGCTCCTTCCAACTTTCTCCCCAAATAATACAGCTGTATTTTTGAAAACCATCAGAGTTTCCTGAGGGCTTTATTTTTAGTTTAATTGGATCATTCTCACAATGGCAGTTTTGTTTTTCTCTATTCAAAAAATACTGGCATTTTCTTTTTCTTTCAGATTGGGAGACAAGAGCCAAAAATAATGTGTCAGCCCGAGAGCTTGACATTTCTGAAGAGCCATCTCCAGAGGTACTAGTAGAAAAACACAAAAGGGATGATTCTTGGAGTTCTAATTTCTTAGAAACCTGGGAATCTGAAGGCAATCTAGAGAGGCAGAAGGCAAACCAACAGGCACTGCCAAGGGAAATAAAAATAACTGAAAAGACAATATCCCCTTGGGAGAAAGGCCCTGTAAATAATGAATTTGGGAAAAGCATCAATGTGAGTTCAAGCCTCGTAACACAACAAGCAATATCTCCAGAAAAGACCTCTACTGAAACAAGTGTCAAACAGAATTCAAACCCAATTAAAAAAGAGAAATCTTGTAAGTGCAATGAATGTGGGAAAGCTTTTAGTTATTGTTCGGCTCTTATTCGGCATCAAAGAACACATACTGGAGAAAAACCCTACAAATGTAGTGAATGTGAAAAAGCCTTCAGCCGGAGTGAAAACCTTATAAACCATCAAAGAATTCATACTGGAGATAAACCATATAAATGTGATCAGTGTGGAAAAGGCTTCATTGAGGGTCCATCTCTTACTCAACATCAAAGAATTCACACTGGAGAAAAACCCTATAAATGTGATGAATGTGGAAAAGCCTTTAGCCAGAGGACCCATCTTGTTCAGCATCAGAGAATTCATACTGGTGAGAAGCCATATACTTGTAATGAATGTGGAAAAGCCTTTAGCCAGAGAGGCCACTTTATGGAACATCAGAAAATTCATACAGGAGAAAAACCTTTTAAATGTGATGAATGTGATAAAACCTTCACCAGGAGCACACACCTTACTCAACATCAAAAAATTCATACTGGAGAGAAAACCTACAAATGTAATGAATGTGGGAAGGCATTCAATGGGCCCTCAACGTTTATCCGTCATCATATGATTCATACTGGTGAAAAACCGTATGAATGCAATGAATGTGGGAAAGCCTTCAGCCAGCACTCAAACCTCACTCAGCATCAAAAAACACATACTGGGGAGAAACCCTATGATTGTGCAGAATGTGGAAAATCTTTTAGTTATTGGTCATCCCTTGCTCAACATCTGAAAATTCATACTGGAGAAAAACCTTACAAATGCAATGAATGTGGAAAGGCCTTCAGTTACTGCTCATCCCTTACTCAACATCGGAGAATTCACACCAGAGAAAAGCCCTTTGAATGCAATGAATGTGGAAAGGCTTTCAGTTATCTCTCAAACCTTAATCAACATCAGAAAACTCATACTCAAGAGAAAGCCTATGAATGCAAGGAATGTGGAAAAGCCTTTATTCGGAGTTCATCTCTTGCTAAGCATGAAAGAATTCATACTGGAGAGAAACCCTACCAGTGTCATGAATGTGGGAAAACCTTCAGTTATGGCTCATCCCTTATTCAGCACAGGAAAATTCATACTGGAGAAAGACCTTACAAGTGTAATGAATGTGGGAGAGCATTCAACCAGAACATACACCTTACGCAACATAAGAGAATTCATACAGGAGCAAAGCCTTATGAGTGTGCTCAGTGTGGTAAAGCCTTTCGACATTGTTCATCTCTTGCTCAACATCAGAAAACGCACACAGAAGAAAAACCCTATCAGTGTAATAAATGCAATAAGACTTTTAGCCAGAGCTCCCATCTGACTCAGCATCAGCGAATTCACACTGGAGAGAAGCCCTATAAGTGCAATGAATGTGACAAAGCCTTTAGTCGGAGCACTCATCTGACTGAACATCAGAATACTCATACTGGAGAGAAACCATATAACTGTAATGAATGCAGGAAGACTTTCAGCCAGAGCACATACCTCATCCAGCATCAGAGAATTCATTCAGGAGAGAAGCCTTTTGGATGTAATGACTGTGGAAAAGCCTTCAGATATCGTTCTGCTCTTAACAAACATCAGAGACTGCATCCTGGCATATGACCATTCTAGGAACATCATAAATTTAGGGGATATATTTAGTTTGTCCTTTTATTAAGTACTGAAGAATCAGAGTGGATTTAGAAACTGCTTAAAATACTTTAACTTTTCACTATCATGTAGTATCATGCTATGGAATGGAAACTACATTGGGCTGAATTAATCCGATTATGTTATTAAGCAACTTTATGACATTGGAAAACTCAACTGTTTTAAGCTTTAGTTTCCTCTGTGGAATGAGAGATTTGAAGTAGATGATTTAAAAGGTAGTTTGGAATTTTATAATCAGTTTTGTATATTTATAATATATTCTTGAATAGGTTTACTATACATAAGCATTTTGCTGTGTTCCATCTAGAATGTGTATGTTTATGCATGTTTTGCCAATAGAAGGAATTTGTGCTTCAGTAACTATACTGGGGATCCATTATGCTCTTGTTCTAACGCACTTAAGTTGTTTAGGTAACTTGTTCCTAATAAAAAGAATTATAAAGTACCCTCAAACTAAAACTTACTTGTATATAGTGGCCTAACTCAGTAAGAGTATTAAAACTTATTATTTCCTCTTCTAATGTGTTTTTAATATTCTAGGAGTTTATCACAACTACAGAGGTCTGCTTCTACAGCTTAAACCAGTGTTATTTAACCGTGGCTGTATATTGGAATCACCTGGTGTCTTAGTCAACTTACGCTGTTATAATAAATTGCCATAGACTAGGTGGCCTAAACAACTGAAATTTATTTTTCACAGTTTTGGAGGCTGAGAAATCAAAGATCAGGGTGCTGGCAGATCCAGTGTTGGGTGAGGGCCCACTTCCTGGTTACAGATAGCTGTTGTCTTGTGTCCTTACATAGTGGACAACACAGAGAGAGCTAGCCCTCATGCCTTTTTATAAGGGCACTAATCCCATTTGTGGGTTCTACTTTCATGACCTACTCACCCCTCAAAGGCCCAACCTCCTAATACCATCACATTGGGGATTAGGCTTTCAACATAGGAATTTTGGGAGGACATATTCAGTCCGTAACACGTGGAGAACTCTACAAAACTTTATTGCCAAGGCTCTAAGCTTCAGCATTTTTTTTTTTTCCAACTCCATGTGTACCTTAGAAAGAAAAATTGGCTTATATTTCAGTATGCACTCATTTAGTTAGTATCATCTTGTGGCTGTTCCTAGAAGACTCACAGATTAGCTGTTCAGTATACATAATGTAGTTTTGACTGTCATCCTATTTTGTAAGTTGGATTTTCACAAGCTCTGAGAGATAGGGTTAATTTCCTTCTTCACCAATGTACACAAATGGCAGTGTAAAGTGTGGTCATTTCACTTGTCCTTGGCCACTTCACATTGGAATCAGATGACAGTGCAAACAACACCCCTGGAGAGATGCAGTCCACAGCCTGTGTGGCCATTTGTGGTGGCCCTGGTCATGATAACGTTTCAGCCAAAAACAAATATGAGTTTAGCCATAAAGTGTAGGGTCTTGCATATTTTCTCCAGATATATTCTAATTATCAGGTTAGCTCTTTTAAGAACAGTTGATAATTTCTCAGCCTGATTTGGAGCTCTGAGAACAGAGGGCATGACAAAAATTTATCCTTATTATATAAAAAATTGTTTTAGACTCTTCCCACAAACAATTTTGGAGAAGGGGATGCTGCATATTCTTACAAATGAAAAAAATCAATGCAGTCCTGTTTGCTTTTATAAATTCCAGTGACCTGCATAGAAATTTTGTCACCTTTTTAACTGAAGATGCCAAACAGTAAAAAGCAGAATTCAGGAAAGAATATAGCCATTTAAATCTCAGGACCCAGCCTGAGCAAGAGTGAGACCCCATCTCTATAAAAAATAGAAAAATTAGCCAGGTGTGGTGGCATGCGCCTGTCATTCCAGCTACTTGGGAGGCTGAGACAGGAGGATTGCTTCAGCCCAGGAGTCTGAGGTTGCAGTGAGCTATGATGACACCACTGCATTCTAGCCTGGGCAACAGAGTGAGACCCTATCTTAAAACAAACAGACAAAAAAACTAAGGACATTTTTCTGTTGTCCTGAAACATCTATAAAGGAATGTCATCTTGATATTTCTTAATTTCTCAAGGCTTTAGTTACGTAGGAATTACAGTTATCTCATTGCATAGAGGTGGAAACTGTTAGAGAAGAATGGATACCAAGTTTTAGGATAAGCTTTGCTTGGTATCTGAGCCACCCCCACAGTTAAGGGAAATGAAGTTTCTATATCTAGGTGAGGGGTCCTTCTGTGTCAAAGGAGGTCCCAAAATTGAAAACACTGGCGTCTGTAATGGGAAGACTTGTGCCACTGATTCACATGTGAAAAAATAGAATGTATGTGGAAATTTGTCATTAACTCTGAAAGATCCCACTTTGTCCCATTCATTTTATCTCTTCACACATACCGTCAGATCAAACCTAGGGCACCAAAAATATGTGGTCGTCACCTAATTCGTTTTTTTAAAAAAGTGGTTATTCATGCCTCCCTCTGCTTGCTTGTCCCTCATCTCCCCATACTTTGGAAATGTACTAACCACTCCCAGATAATACAGGCCTGGAGAAGAGATAGCCGGTAAGGCTCCAGAACTTAATATGATCTGGGTTTCTGTATCTCCTTTTTGAGTATGTCAAAACCATCTCAACTACTATTCCAGACCACATTCCTATTTCCCAAAGCAGGTATATTCACAATTGTTGCTTTTGCTCAGACATGTCTATCTAACTATAAACTTAGGTGAGCTAAGGTTTTTTACTTTATCACCTTAGATGTGCCTTAGTCACATACTTAACTCTCTCCTTACTCTAAGGTACAGAGAGAGAAAGTCATTTAAAACTATTTCTTAGTCTTTTTTTTTTTACTTGATTCTGTAATTTACATGCCATATATGCCATAAACACCTAGTATAGCATTAACATTAGTTCCTTAATATTTATCAGACAGAGAGTAGAACAAAATTAAAATCTAAAGGGGAGAATTGAAAGAAGTTACAGCTTTTTCCTTGAAGTTATAATTCTTCCAGAAAATAGCAAATGGATTCAATTTACCTTACAAGTTTAACATCTACTAACAAACTGCCCAGAAATAAAGAGATCTCAGAAATTATCAATGAAGCCAGCCAGCTCTTTATAAGGTAAGGAATTGTCTATCAACAAAAATTCTAATGCCTTCATGTGTAATTTTTGGATGGTTCAGTGTTCAATATTGAGCATATAAAAACCAAGCATTTTCCTCTAGATCCTAGATTGGCAATTGCCAGCAGATTATAGATATTGGACCACCCGACTAGTTTTTGCCAAATAACTGGGTGAAGGAAGCAGGAAAGGGGGAACATATCACATAACCCAGTTACTCATCCTTAAACATTTAGTCTTCATTAAAAATCAACCACAGCTAATGCTTATGAGGTGCTTGGATTTGTTATAATGGTAGGGGTTCAGAAATAAACGCGTTTGCTCTTACAGAGCTCACGATGTATTATAAACAAGCGTGTAAAATGCCAAGTGATGATAAGCATTATAGAGAATAATTCAGGGTAAAGGGCTTGGGCAAGACTCCCCCCTACCTCCCCCTGCTGCCTTGGGTTGTGGTGGGGCTATTGTAGATAGGATGTTTGGGAAATGCCTTCCTAATATGTTGTCATTGGAGCACACACCTGGAGGAAGTGAAGGGATAAACTAGGTAGATATCTGGGGGGAACATTCCAGGCAGAGGGACTAACAGCCACACAGGTGCTGAGATAGGAGCATCTTTGGCAGTTTTAGGAACACTGGCTGGAGTGCAGTGAATGAGTGAGATGAGGTCAGAGAGACAGCTGGGAGACAGTTCCTGCAGACCTTCTTGGCCAGGGTAAGGATTTGGCATTTTATTCAGAATAAGGTGGTAAGTCATTGGAGGTTGTTGAACAAGGGAGGAACATGATTTGAATTGTTTTAAAAGGTTCACTTGCTACAGCGTAGGAAAGAAATTATAGAGAGTTAGGGGTACAAGCAGGGAGTCTAGTTGGAATGCTATTACAGTAGTCCAGATAAGGGCTAATGGTAGCTTAGACAAAGGTATTGATAAATGATAGGAAGTAGTAGGCTGTATTTTGAATGTACAGCAGACATGGTTTGCTGATTGTTTAGACATAAGGCGAGACAAAGAAACCAGAATGGCTTTAAGGGTTTTGAGCCCTTAAAGGCTTGAGCAATGTGAAGAAAGGATCTGTCATGTACTGAGATGGAGAATACCAAAGAAGAAGTAGATTCACAGAGAGGATGAAGAACAAGAATTCAGTCTGGGAACTTCTTAACTTATTAAAATAAACACAGACAAGAACACAAAATATAAATGTACAAACTGAACTTATCTGTAAAACTATCACCTAGGACAAGAAATGGAGCATTACCAGCATCCCAGTAATCCTATTTCTCCTTCGAATCATAGCTTTTTCCTTCTTCCCCAAAGGCAGCCACTATCCTGAATTCTAATAGCATAGATTAGTTTGGCCTGTTTTTTATTATCATTGTGGTAGTCTGTTTTCTGCTACTATAACAGAATACCACACACAGACTGTGTAATTTGTAAAGAATAGAAGGTTATTAGGCTCACATTTCTGGAAGCTGTAAAGTATTATACAAGAACATGGTACCAGCATCTGGTGAGGGCCTTTGTGCTACATCATTCCATGGTGGAAGGCATCACATGGTGAGAGAGGGAAAGAGTGCATGAGACAGCACAAGGGGCCAAACACCCATGATAATTAAGCCACTCCTGTTATAATGGCATTAATCTATTCATGAGGGCAAAGTCCACATGACCTAATCACCTCTTAAAGGTCCCACTTCTTAATACCATCACAATGGCAACTAAATTTTAACCGTGAGTTTGGGAGGTGACATTCAAACCATAGCAATCGTACAGTATGCTTTTGTATCTAGCATTTTTGACTTGTGTTTGTGAGACATATCCATATTGTTGCAAATAGTAGTGGTTCATTCACTTTTGTGCATGTGTTAATATTCCATTGTATGAATATACTATTTACCTACCGTATTGTGGACAGGCATTTGGATTGTTTCCAATTTGAGGCAATTATGAATAATGCCATTGAGAACATTCTTGTACATGTCTTTTGATGTACATGTGCACTCATTTCTGGTGGTACATACCTAGGAATGAAGTTGTGTCACAGGAGTATACATATATTTGACTTTAGTAGACATTGCCAAATGGTTTGCCAAAGATTTGCACCAGTGTTTGCTCCCACTAACCATGTTTGAGAGTTTCCATTGCTCCACACCTTTGCCAGCATTTTAATTGTATATTTAATTTTAAACTCCCTCACGCCCAGGGGTTTGAGGTTGCAGTGAGCTACGATTGGGCCACTGTACTCCAGCCTGGGTGTCAGAGTGAGACCCTGTTTCTGAAAAAAAATTAGAAATCAGAAAGATGAAGATCCATGTGTGAGGTAGGCAGCATGTAAATAGTAAGATAATCAGCAGAATGTAGTATCCAGGAAGCTGAATGAAAAAAGTGTTTCAGGGTGAGAGATGATAAACTACGTAAAACAGTTCTG